CGGATATAATAAATGGAAATCAAGTCGGTTATTTCCACCTGAATGATCCATTGCATCAAAGAATAGCTGACTAGCAATCCCAAAAGTACAGCCGACTTACTCTTTGAAAAGCAGTACCAACAGAAGCTAGCCCAGAAAAAGGTAGCTGGTACTCCCAGTACATCTAGACCGTCGTCTGCCCCTTCTGAAGAGGCAGGCGCAGGATAAATATGTTAATGCTAACCCAATTTTACGCAAAAGCACCACATATGGTTCGCTATCAATGTTAGCAAGGCCCTAAGCTTTGGGCACCTAACGAAAAAACGCAGCCGGTAACCAAGAAAAACAAAATCTACACGGTACTTAAAAACCGTGTTTTCACCCGGGTTGTACGTGTTAAAATATTAACGGTCCCTAATCGGGGGCATACGGATAGCCGCCTGACTGAGTGCAGCTCTACCAATCACCTATCCGGGGGCAATATTCCTAACCCCACCCCGTCTCTGTTTCACACGGCAATAGTACTTGAAGAAATTTCTAAGAAAAATTTAAAGAAGTGCAAATAAGGAGAAATCATTCAACAAAACCGGCACAGCCGGTGAAAAAATATATATATATTAATATTCGAAATAAAATACAATGGCGGAATAAGCCGACTCATCCGGCGCGATTACAAGATAATGCACGGCGCGCAGGCCGGGAGGTCGTTGCTATTCTATCTGCACGGTCACCCGGTCACTTGGAGCCTGAGTCCCTTCCGGGTGTGACGGGTCAACGATGGGGACGGAGCCAGGAGCAACTTCATCTTGAATAGCCTCCTCGTTAGCAGCCGCTTCCTCCTCCATCCTTTTGAACTCCGCCTCAACCCACTCTCATAGGGTTCAGGCCCCGACTGACCCTCCTCTTCAACCAGAATGGCAAGATCTGCATATTTGTAGGCGAGCTCCCAGACGTTGTAGTCTGTACCCGGATGGATATGGAGAACTCCCTCTTCATTCTGTTCTCGTAGTCTTGCTCATTCTCCTCAATGAGCCGGCTCTGCTCTGCTTCAAGGGTGACCTGGAAGTTGCCCTTTGCAGCAGCCGCCTCTTTGATCAGGCGGTCATTCTCTTGTTGCAGGCAGGTGTTGGCCTTCTCCGCCTGATCCAGCCATTTGAGGGGCTCCTCATGTTCCTTGAGCTCCTTCTCGGCATTGTCTAGCGCCACCTTGATATTGACCAATTTGACCTTAGGACTCATTGAGGGCCTTCTGGAGGGTCTTGACCTGGTCGGCCTGTCGCATGATTATAGATTTAGTTTCTAAGTCATGCACAATCATTGAATATTCAGCAACGTTATGTGCGTCATCCGCAGAACGTTTGGCTCTCCTTACCTCCTCGTGTTTGCGTATGTAGGCCTTTTTGAGCCCTTCCACGCGCAGCAGTGCCTGCAACAATACAACCGGCGTCAATAGAAAAACCGGATGTGCATACATCAAATAAAATGTCGGGTGGGTACTTCAAGCTTACATCATCTAGCTCGACCATTACACGGTCGGCGTTGAAGGTGTTGATCCCAGGGATCGCCTCCTTCTCGTCCCGGGGGACGGCTTTCAGCTTGGCTCGGGCAAACTGAGCTGCATCCGGCCAGCGGGGGGAATTATCTGCACCAGAAACAGACGGTGAGAAAGCTGCATATGCTCCGTCTATTGATTGCCGGCTGATTGGAGAATCTCCCGGCTGAGACTGAGAATAAGACTTAACCCGCATGGGCAGGTCAAGCAGCGCGAGGTTGAAGGGATTTGTACCTTGTTGTTGGAGACCTCTCTGGCCTCCGTCAGTAGAAGGATCGGTTGAGGTCCTTCTTGGTGTGGCCTCTCTTGAATCCATTTCAGCAGTAGACCCGCCTAGGGTCTTTATTGATTTACCGCCGGTAGAGGGCCGGGCGGCGGATATGGTCTTCTGCACCTTAGATGCAGGCTCCACTACAGTCAGCCTCGGCTGAATCTGCTTCTGTAGGGAGCGAGGAGTTTTTCTCCCATCCTGAAACGAAGTAACAAACGATTAGGCGGAAAAAAACGAGCAAAACGGGAGTAAAGCAAACAAATCAAAGATAAGTCAGACGGTCTAACCTTCTTAGTCGCCTGAGCAGTAAGTTTTTTCTCCAGATTCTCCTTACGGATGTCTGAAGCCTTCCTATCAGGCGTTTTCTCTGTTGGCAACATGTTCTTTGCTTCTTCTGCAAAATACAAATCAAATATGTGCGGTCAAGGTCAGGACAATAGCAAACGGGCATTGTAATCAAAAGAAAATTGTCATCCGGCGTAAATAAGCTGGATGAGGCTTTTAACCTACGTTTTTCGAACATGCTGCTAAGCCAGCAGGCGGACAAAAAGGCCTCGTCCCTTAGAAACTCATGTTTAGGCACCCAGTTTCGGGGCACCCTTATTACCTCTCCGGTTGAGAGGGTGGAAGGGACGAGCTCGAAAAAGTGGGAGTCCAGTATTGCTTCCCTATCCCTCTCCGGCACTGGGGGCATCCGTTATTTCTACCCCAAAAGTTCATGTTTCCGGTTGTATGTCCGGAACTCTCTGTTTTCCTCGTTGGTTGGAGCCTTGACCAGGTAGAAACGACTCTTCCAGTCTGACCACTTAGACGGTTTGTCGAGCGTCATGAGGTACTGGGGGTAACTGGTCAGGGTGTACCAGGCTCTCCAGCCGCCTGGGCTCCTACTCAAGTAATGTATATGGGCAAACGCCTCCCAGCCAGGGTTCAGATCCTGCATTTCGCAGGCGGCAATGTACCCAAGAATATTCACCCAAGAGTTGGGGGTGAGTTGACAAATGCCCAGGCCATACCCCCTTAGTATGGCCTTTATCGTGTCATGAAGAGGGAAGCGGAGCCCTGCCAAGAATGCCGCCTCGTAGCAGCCAAACCAGCCGTCTGCGTTGCGCTGGTCATCCTCCCAAGCAATTGTCCCTTTCTCAGGCGGGATCGCCAATTTATACCCCGCCCCAAGGGGCCGTTTGAGGACGAAATCTGCTAATTTACTCCGCATCATGGCCCTATCTTTGGCAGAGACGGTGATCATCAAAGGATCACCCTTAGTTTGCCAGGAGGGTCTCTCCTCGTCCTCACTATCGACGCACGGTGTTAGAAAGCTAAAGCTGCTCTCCACAGGTTCGAGTGCAGAGCCGGAAGCGGAGGAGGAGGCCTCCTGGGATGAGTTTTTTCGCTCTACGGAGGCGGCTTCCTCACCGCCTCCCTGATAAGAGCCTAGAATGCCATCACTAGGCGTACTAGGAGTACCTTCGGGAGATCCCACGGCCGCCTCATTAGGGGCCCTCTCGTCAGGCGGCAACTTGTCAAAGCCACCGCCTTCGTAATTGGGGTCCACAGCCGTCTTCCTGGTTCTGGCCATTGTGTCCTGCACAGACACGGAGACGGTCGGATTGGGAGACAAACAAGGCAAATCCCAGAGTCTATAGTCGGTGTTTCCAGTTCTAGACTCAGCCGTACTATTAGACCGGCTGGTCTCATTATTATGTTCCGGATGGGGGTATAAAGGTTTCATCTAACTATGGGACAAATAAACGAGAAAATAAACAAAAGACTCAGTGTAAATACATGGAAGAGCTTGAAAGAATAGAGGCGGTACCTAAAAGAAAGAAGGAGAAAACCGCTTGGTCGCTGAGAATATCTTGGGTTTGCTTGCGAAGACACAGGAGCCTCTTGAGCCGGTTGTGTTGTTTGACGTACAGATGCAAATTTGGCTTGCTATCAAACCCCCCAGACGGTTATAAACCGGATGCTCACGCGGAAACTATCTCAGAAATACTCTCAATACCGGCTGCTCTCGAAAATCAGAAAATTTTCAAAGTTTGTAAATGAGGGCTCGGGGAGGGGACTTGGCTATTTATAGGCTCCTCCTCAGAAGGCGAAGAGTCCTGACTCTTCACCTTCTGCTTCTCCCGCCTTTTCACCCAAGCAGCCAGAATCCAAGAGATTCAAAAAAAAAAAAAAACAACTCTTCACAGGTGCCACGTGGCACAGCCACGTCAGCACCCGTGAGGGGAAAATGTTTAGGGTAAAAATACCCTAGACATGTGGCCCAATGGGCTGGTGACACGTGGCATATCGCCATTGGTCAACAGGGCTCCAATCCCCTGTTGACACGTGTCCTTGGAGTCTTCCATGAGTAATTTATCTGTCCCACTATAAATAGTGGGACAACCCTCATTTATGGGGCATTCATAAATACAAACACTATTACCGAGCAATATTAATTGCGGAATTCTCCCAATCAGCGAGAAGAACTTTACCTATTCCGTATTCTTTCCTCTTGTACGTATACTGATCGTCGGAGGCGAAGCTCCTACCAACCGGAGTCTTCGTGATCTTGCAGGTACAGGCATCGGCAGCTCAGTCTCGGAATCGTAACTCTCCCGCAGGACACCTCAAAAAACCCCGAAACAACATGCATTAAAACAAATGTAATTATGTAATACATTTTCTCATAAATAAACAAAAATATGAAAGAACTAACAAAATACTTTCTTCAGTCCCCTAACATCTCAATAATTGGACTTTAACGTTATTTACATACTCTCCTTTATCTACCAATAGCATTGAGATTTATATGTGTTAAAAATATGGCCTTATTATCTAGTTAGATTCGTCTTGATTCATACCTTTAATATATCAATTTTAATTTATTTATTTATTATTTTTTTTTCCTTACATTCTAGCTAGAAATTAAAGATATTAATAACTAAAGTTGTATTATGGGATATGTAATAAATATCAATATAATGTAATATTAGATAAACAAACGCAGTATAATACTAGTGTAAAAGTCATAGTAGTACATTAAAAAAATAAATAAATCAGAATATACTCGTTTAAAATCAGACAAAAATTTCTCCGGATCTTCACATCAAGTTTTTTTTTTTTGGCAAACAAAGTCTATGGTTTATTTACAAATGTGAATGCCAAGACTAATCTTGTTAGTAGTAGTAGGTTAAGATAATATAAGCACAAAATTTCATAATATTTTGTGGTTAAAGATCTAGAACAACCAGGAAATGTTCGTTGATTGAAATGTAAAACGAAATCTTAACTGGCAAGTCCTAAGCAATTAAAGAAGGGACGGTGTAGCAGTTGAAATAAATATATAAACCAAGTCATCCTCACATTAGTAAAGAAAATATTTTCATATTTAAAAAGTATTAAAAAAAAAAACTAAGCAAATTAAGTTGGTTTGAATAATGGCCTGGACATACCCCATCATTTTAGGTCTATAATTTACATGAAATTCTGGTGTAATTTCTTATACATTTCTTGCTTCCACCTTGCTATATATATACATATTACCTCCTAGCTCGATCTAGATAAAATCATTTCATACATTAATACGTACGCTTGATCAAACTAGTATTTACGCTCTTTCATCACGACATCACATATACTTAATACTTCTCCGTTGGAAATGACTCGAGCCCTAGGCGGAAGCAACCTAATCCCTCGGGTCATAAACACCAACATCCTAGTCTGTACCATTATTGGTACTGACTGTGATATGGGCTCCATGGGACACCGACCAAATTATTTCCAACATGGTACCGGAACTAATGGTGTGAGCTATATATACGACCTAGAGCTCCACGAGGCAGCAAGTTGTGGAAACGTCAAAAGAGCCCGAGAGGCGGTTGCTAGGAACAAGGGGCTGTTATCCCACAAGGATTCTCAGGGTAACATACCCTTGCACCGTGCCATGGAGAATGGCCACAAGGAGACGGCGCTCTTCTTGGTTCAGGTACACCCACTAGGGTCCTATGCCTTGAACAACTCTAACATCTCTCCTCTTTATCTTGCTGCTTATCGCAAGGACTTGGAATTGGTTAAAGCCATGTTTTGTGAGCTGAATAAAGATGATAAAGTTCTTGACAATTTAAAGAAAGGAAAGTCAGTTGTTGATGTTGCCATTACATACAAGAATCAAGGTAATTAAATGAAAGTTTCTCAACTGGTAATTTTTTCTTATTTATGTAAGCTTATGTCTTCTTTACTAAAATATAGTCATATTAATGTTCAAACTTATGTCTTCACATATATGTGTGGTAAAACTGTGTTAATTATTCTAAAACAAAGGGGGAATGCTTTTTGTTTCATGCATCTGCTACACAGTTAATTTTAACAAAAATTTATGTAGATGTTTTAGCAATTTTTAATTTCATGGTACTCATGCTGGTTATTGGTTTTGTCTAATCACAGATTTGTTGCAACTCATACTCAAATCTCAGCGGGAGCTAATCAAATGTCCCAATGAAGACGGATTAACCCCTCTTTCGTATGCAGCGTTCAATGGTAATCTTGACATAGTTCGCTACCTTCTCAAAAAATTTCCAAATTCTATAAGTTACCGCAACAACGATAACTCCAACCCCTTTCACAAGGCAGGCCTAGGAGGCTATGTCGAGGTCTTAAAGGAGCTCTATTCCAATTCCAAAACTCGTGAATTTTTGCTAGCCGGTGATCATCATGGGCGAACTGTACTGCACCTCGCTGCTAAAGAACGCGGCAACAAGTTGAGGCACGTTGTCTCCTACTTGTTGAGCCTAAAGGAGGGTAAGGACCTTATCAAGAAGAAAGATGAAAATCAACTTACACCTTTGGAATTGGCCAAAAAGAACTCAAATCATGAAGTGGAAGAACTTATTAAGGAAATCAAGCTTCAATAGAATATGTTTCTTCAATTCTGAACCTATATCTTAATTTAATTTCTAGATTCTACACATACGTATACAGAAAAATATGTACCAAATATAAGTATTATACTACAGTACAACTTTCTTTATCTTTTATATATATATATATATATGTGTGTGGACTTAGTCTAGGTTTCAGTTTACATTATTGTAACATTTTATTTTGCTAGCTAGTTTGTCCTTATTAATTATATACTCTTTATGTATAGCATATACTTATGTACTGTATAATACTACGGAGTAATATACTATTGCATTTGTTTACAAGCAAATTATCTAGTCCGAATCCGCCCCTTGCCCGATCTGATCCGAAGAAAAAAATCCGAACCGAATCCGAGAAATAATAATCCGAATCCGACTTTGTTTAAAAAATCCAACTCCGAGTCGGATAAGGGTTGGAGTTGAAGTCTACTTAGAATCCGACTTATCCGATCCAATTCGACTTTTCTATGTACTTATATATATATATATATTTTATTATTCAATTCATGAACTTATAGGTCTTTGAAGTTGATTATATATGGGTTGCTATTAATAATGAGGTCAAAATTAAATTTACAGTCGGAGTCGGAGTCGGAGACGGATCAGGTTGGAGTTGGATGTTGGAAATTTAAGTCGGATCGAAGTCGGATTCTCGGAGTCGGAGGCAAATTAAAAATCCGACATCTTGTAAGGTCGGAGTCGGATTTTGCATAATGCGACCCGAATCCGACCCATTGCCATTCCTAGTAACAATAATATACGTAGTACTTTCGATCATTATGCAAGAGGTGCATGTCAAAGCACACCCGACTCGACCCAACCCGATTTAATCCGAAAAATATCCGATTCAGATTTCGATTCGCGTGGACACAGTAATTTAATATAACTCAACTTTAAAAATTGACCAGACTCGACCCGACCTTACAAAATCCGATGCAATCTTCCGAATTGACACCTCTTATTTATGCTTCTTTGTTGTTGGTGGAGATTTTGTTGATGGACATGTAGGAAGCAAGAGTGAAAGACTAGTTAAGCTAGGGCTGACAAAGAGATTTTTATTTTTTTTTTAATTGATTCAATTACGTAATACATGACGCATACACAGATACATTAATAGTAAGAAAAAAACATAAAATGATGAAAAGGTAGCTAGCTTTCTAAGATCAAAGTTTTATTTTCCTCTTTTTAATTAAGACTTGTTTTAGCACTTATATACTGTATTTCTTGTTTTTATAGATTTTTTAAGGTAAGAGCAAGGAAAATTAAAATATTAGCAAGAAGCTCTCCTCATGGAGAAATTCCTAATACATCTAAAGAAAGAATGAGAATTAGACTAAAATTATTACAAGGTATAATATCCATATTGTATTTTTTTTTTATTTTTTTTTATATAGAATTAGAAATTGCATGTATACTATAGTTGATATGTACTCTGTATGCATTACATATACCTTATCTAAAGGAATTAAACTAATATAAAAATTGGTTGGTAAATATCATACTGATCGCATTACAATAGGAATTTAGTACATACATTCTTTTTCACGTAGAGTGAGTTAGATTTTAACCAAATAAGCTAGTTAGCAGAGTATGTAAATTAGCATCCATGCACTGCAATGGCTATTGATCACTTGCATCCATAGGATCGATCAATAATGTTACTCAAAGTACAAACATGTAAACACACCACCATCATAAATACATTAATATTCTCTCCGTTTTTTAAGTCTATCACATTTTTCTTTTACAACCTTTTTTAAGGGTAATATTATATGTAGCCCTTAAGGCTAGAAATAAGCATTTACTATCTATCCTAATTTGGTTTTAATTTAGGAACGCATAACAAAATCACGCACAAAATCAGTGTAATTAATTTTTTTTTTTTTTTTTTTTTTTTTTTTTTTTTTTTTTTTTGATATGTAGCCCTTAGGGCTATAATAAGATTTTCCTATTTTTAAATGCATCACTTTCCTTTTACTCGTATGTCCGTTATTTTTAAGTGTATCACATTCTATTTTGAACATCATTTGTTATTATTACAGAGTATTATATTTCCATCCTCACATGATTTCCACTCTTATTTTTTTTCCTCGATCTTCCCACACATTCCTTACTTTTTGATACATCATAAACGATTACACCACTATCTCTACTCTATAATTTTTAAATTCCGAACAAACCCTACTTACACAATATTTTACTCTATTCAACTCATCTTCCTAAAATTTAGTTCCAGTTATACCAATGTACTTTTAAAAAAAAACAAAACAAAAAAAAAAAAAAAAAAAAAATTCTGCCTGTCAAACATGCCGTAAGAAAATTTCTTGGTGGAATGACATTTCCTTGGTGTTTCCATTCAGCCAATGCTGGGCTGTTTCTTCTACCAGTTTCATGCTACAACTAATTACCTACGGTTCATGATAATAAATAAATAATGATTTAATTCCTATGACTAAAAAAAATATTATGGTCAATGTTAACTTACATATATGACGAAATGTATACCCATACGAAATGGTACGGTAAGGCCAAGATTAATTAAACCCCAACCATTCCCCAAAAAAAAAAAAAATAAATAAATAAATAAATAAACTCCAACCACTAACTACTACCACTAATAATAATTGAACACCGAGTATAGTAGTAGAATGGTCGCCTTGTGAAGACTTCAAGCCCGATTATTTCGCAACTGGAAAATTTCCCAACATTTCCTTCAGTTTTTCCTGGTACATTTAGCAACTTTTCATTTATTTTTAATTTCTTGGTGGACAAGTTAATTTGCAATCAATAAATTAAATTAAAGTAGTTTTTAATATACAATCAGTTGGCGCATGCATGGTACAATTACCAAGATTATTTTTCTTTACCTATGTGCATGTGTCTTGTAAGTACATAAACAGTACGCGGTACATCCGGTTTTACAGTGAATATCCTTGTAAATTAATATGTGAATATTTGAAATAATAAACCGTTTAATCTTGTGTATAGTAGGTTAGGTTAGGAATTATAAATTTATAAGTATGTATAACTTGAGCATGCATAGAAATGTTAATTACAATCAAAATAAAAGGAAACCTCAGTTAGCAACTTGCAAGCTGCAACAAAATAAGAAGAGGCCGTGTGGCAGGTACTAAGTAGATAGGTCAATTAACCTAGAAAATTACATGCATTGCTAGTGGAATTGCATGTACATTTCTGTCTTCCCCTATCTCCTCCTCTATATAAACAAACCTTCACCTCATTCTCTCCATCCCTCATCAAACCACATATCTTGCACCATTCTGAAATAACTCGATCCAAATCCGAACTCTAATTAATCAAACTAATCCAACATATATATTTCGATATATATAATTTTGAAAACATCCATTATACAATGGCGGAAAAAGAGATGCAGAAGAAGAAAAAGGAAGAAATCTTAAAACTCATGGGCTTACCCGTCCACACCATGCATTTTCATGACCTTGACCATCGAGCTGTGGTGATTGAAATAATGAACACCACTGCGAAAACTAATCTTATCCCACGGGTCATGAATACAACCATCATGGTTTATCCTTTTGCTACGATGTTTAATGCTGATCTATCGATGCAATTCCAAAACGAAAGGCATCATAGAAATAATAATTCTCGGGGTACATTCAATAATAACGCAGGAAGTACAACGAATAATAATAATAATGCTCTTGCTGGTGTACGTGCCGCCATTGCCAACCAAAATCAAGGTATAGATGACCTTCCTATATATAAACCGTGCATACATCTAGTAAAAAAAATAAAATGTCAAATATTTGAAAATATTTTCTACTTATTTGATTTTACGTACACTCCGAATAAAGTATGGCAGTATTTTAATATATACAACGTTCGATTCAATCCTAGGTTAATTACAATGTTAGCATTACACTTCGTACCATACAAGTATTTACTCATTTATATTGGTTGTTTATATGTGTTTACACAGAAATGTTGGCAACTATACTCGAATCTCAACCTGATCTAATCAAGTCCTTTGATGAAGAAGGGTTAACTCCTCTTTCGTATGCAGCATCCAAAGGAATTGTTGAAATAGTACTCTACTTCCTCGAAAACTTCCCAAAAACAACATACCTTCGCAACAAAGATAAATCCTACCCGATTCACAAGGCATGTCTAGGAGGACATGTTAGGGTTTTGGAGAAGTTCCATTCTAAATTTCCTACTTCCCTAAACTCCGTTGACAATCATGGACGGACAATATTACACATAGCTGCTAAAGAACGCGGTAACAAGCTGAAACATGTTGTCGTGTACTTGTTGACACTACGAGAGGGTAGAGAATTAATCAGTAAGAAAGACGAAAATTATTGTACACCCTTGGATTTGGCTAGAAGCAGCAGAAATGGTGAAGTGGAAGAACTTATTGGAAGAATCATACGTCAATAGGATGGAAGAACTACCCTGCGTTTGTGCGTTACGCTTGTGTGACAGTGTGAATGCTTCGATGCAACATGTAATTTTTTTTCTTTTTTTTTTCTGCTTTATTGATATTTATTTTAATTTTCTTTAGTCGTCAATCTTTTGTTATTTATTTGATAGCATGTTCATGTCAATAGTGAAGGTCAAAATCGAATTTTTGTCCCGTGTCCTCAAAGTTTTCTAGTTCAATGTAAAATATAATCCAAAGTTTTTTTTTTAATTTTTATTTTAAAGAAATAATACGAAGTATTATATATCGGTATAAGTTTCTGTACTTAGAGAGTTTTAATACATTTGACCTGTAAATTCACTACAGCAGTATACACCTGATGAAACACAACGTCACAATCGCTAACATTTTCCTAGCAATGTTTTGTGTACATTTATACTAGAAGTCAAGAGTCTTTATAAAATTATTATAACAACTATTTTCACCAAAGATTTATCATATATATGGCGGATAATATAATGTGAATGCAACGAAATGTTTGAAATTAAATTTTAGGCCTAATAGTACATGACATCGGTAGGTAGGAATTAATTGGACCAAGATTTTACAAATAACTTGTGGCCTGGTACGCGGTTAAGTTTTGTGGGATGACATCAAAACGTTTGCTCAATTACTGAAATTATGTTTCCTCAAAAAAAAAAAAAATATATAATACTGAAATTGTGAAGAAAGTCACCAAAGGGAGAGAGTTATCTAAGGGTCCATTCCAAATTGAAATACTGTATAATTTGGATAGCTCGAATTTATTGAAAATCAGCAAAATTAAATTGGATTGGCTGTCTTCTTTAAGAAGTACTTCCTCCGTTACGTACTTACATATTAGTTACAACTTGGAATTTTTGATATATCACAAATAATACCTCAAAGTTACAGATTTGAACAAATTGGATCGAATTGAAGAAATTCGGATGCCAATAAACGAATTATTGTAACATCAATACTAAAAAGCGGCTTTGGAAGATCGATTGAACAATTTCAGAACCATTATTATTAATACGTATCAACTTGGGAAAAGGATTTTTTTTTGAGGTTTCAGTAGACTAATCAAATGACGAGTTAATGGCTAACTACGGTCATTATAACCCCTTCATGCTCTATCATATAACTCTTTTAATGGGTTCCAAAAAAAATGTAGGTTCTTTAAAAAAAATGTAACTCTTTAACTGGGTTCAAAAAAAAAAAATGTAACTCTTATAAAAGTTATAACCAATTAACCAGAATCAATTTAAAAAGTCAAACTCTCTTTGTCAGCCCTAGTCTTTCACTCTTGCTTCCTAGTTCCTACATATCCATCTACAAAATCTCCACCAACAACAAAGAAGCATAGCAATCGAAAGTATATCGGTACACAAATTAAAAGTGCTTGTAATACACAAAACAAATGCAATAGTATATTAGTATTATACAGTAGTATATAACCATATAAGTGTCTGCTATATATAAGAGTACGTAAATGTAACGACAAACTAGCAAAATAAATTGTTACAATGATGGAAACTCAAACCTAGTCTAAGTCCACACATGTATACTGCATGATATACAAAGAATAAAAGAAGGGAAAAAAAAGTTGTAGTACAATACTTGTATTTCGTACAAATTATTCTGTAAACGTATAGTAGAATCTAGAAATTAAAAAAATATAGGTTCAGAAGTAGCATATTCTATTGAGGCTTGATTCCCTTAATAAGTTCTGCCACTTCATGATTTGAGCTCTTTTTGGCCAATTCCAAGGGTGTAAGTAGACTTTCATCTTTCATCTTGATAAGGTCCTTACCCTCCTTTAGGCTCAACAAGTACGAGCCAACACGCCTCAGCTTGTTGCCGCGTTCTTTGGCGGTGAGGTGCAGTACTGTTCGCCTATGATTATCCTCGGCTAGCAACAAACAACGAGTTTTTGAATTGGAAATTTTGGAATAGAGCTCCATTAAGACCTCGACATGGCCTCCTAGGCCTGCCTTGTGAAAGGGGTTGGAGTTATCGTTGTTGCGGTAACTTATAGAATTTGGAATTATTTTGAGAAGGTAGCGAACTATGTCAAGATTACCGTTGAATGCTGCATACGAAAGTGGAGTTAATCCGTCTTCATTGGGACATTTGATTAGCTCGCGTTGATATTTGAGTATGATTTCCAACATTTCTGTGATTAGACAAAACCAAAAACCAACATTAGTACCATGAAACTAAAAATTGCTATGAAATAAACTAATATTTTGCTAAAATTAAATGTGTATCACTGAATGTTGCCATGAAACTAATTTTTTTGTTAAAATTAACTGTGTAACTGACGCTGTATTTGAATAATTAATACAGTTTTACCACATAGCTAGATATGCCAAGACATTATTATTTTAACCATTAATATGACTATATTTTTTTTAGTAAAGAGGACACAAGCTTACATAAGTAAAAATTTACCTTGATTCTTGTTTGCAATGGCAACATCAACAATTGACTTTCCTTTCTTTAAATTGTCAAGAACTTTATCATCTTTAACCAACTCACAAAACATGGCTTGGACCAAGTCCAAGTCCTTGCGATAAACAGCAAGATAAAGAGGAGAACTCTTGGAGTGATTCAAAGCATACGACCCTGGTGGATATTCGTTAACCAAGAAGAGTGCCGTCTCCTTGTGGCCATTCTCCACGGCGAGGTGCAAGGGTATGCTACCCTGAGAATCCTTGTGGGATAACAGCCCCTTGTTCCTAGCAACCGCCACTTGGGCTCTTTTGATATTTCCACAACTTGCTGCCTCATGGAGCTCTAGATGGTATCTATAGCTCACACCACTGTTAGTTCCGATACCATGTTGAACATAAATTGCTCGATGTCCCCTGGAACTCATATCACAGTCCGCACCAATATAGGAGGTGGAAACGTGTACAACAAATTGCACCAGAATTTCATGTAAATTATAGACCTAAAATGATGGCGGTATGTATGTACAATATTCTAACCAATTTAATTACTGTATTTTTCTTAACTTGGTGTGCTCCGTACGTATATTGACTTCAGCTACTGCTCACCGTCCCTTCTTTAATTGCTTGGGACTTGCCAATTAAGATTTCGTTTTACATTTATAACCAATTTAATGAATATTTTCTGGTGGTTCTAGATCTTTAACCACTAAATATTATGAAATCTTGTGCTTATATTGTCTTTAACCTATTCTTCAAAAATAAAAAAAAAATAAAAATAAAAATCTTAACCTACTACTACTAACCACATTAGTTATTTTTTTTAACGAACACATTAGTCTTAAAATTAGCATTATGTTGCATTCACATTTGTAAACCAATACTTGGTCTACCAAGAAAATGATTAAAAAAAATTGATGTGAAGATCCGAAGAAATTTTTATTTGATTTTAAACAAGTATATTCTAATTTACTTATTTATTTTAATACATTATATTATCATTATGACTTAATTTTAAACTCGGTTTGTTTATCTAATATAATGTCATGTTCGGATTTATTATTACACTTCCCACAATACAACTTTAATCACTACAAGTAATAACTTTTATCTTTAGAATGTAAAAAAAATTATAAGATTTTGATATGTTGAAAGTATGAATTAAAACGAATCTTTCTAGTCTTCTAGATTACAAGGCCATAATTTTTATCACATATAAATCTTAATGCTATTATAGTTAAAGGAAAGTAAGTAAATAGTATTAAAGTCAAATGATTGAAATGTTAGAGGATTGGAGGAAGTATTTTGTTAGTTCTTCAAATTTCTGTTGATTTTCATTTTAATGCATGTATTGTTTAAGTGTAGCACAAAGTTTCATATGTGGACACCGTGTATGTGGTCGGGGTTATTTAGCCGGGGTTACTTGGTCGGTCAGGGATTACTTAGTTAAGGATTACTCGATCGGTCAGGAGGTTACTTGATTATGGGTTACTCGCTTGATCAGGGGTTACTCGATTAATATTTTGATGTATAGCTGACCACAGAGAAAACGCACTGTAATTGTAAACGGGTTAATGTCTGGGTCAGAGTTTGACGCGCGAATCACCGCGTGGAGCACGATTTACTTCGCATACATTTGTAAGAGCCAAATAATTGTTGTACGGCTTGACGATTTGACATGGCCAGGTTTGATGAATAATGCAATGCACCAAAGAACACGTACAACACCGCATAGCATCGACACGTTTCTAACCAACGCTTCCCTGAATTTCTCACTCATGAATATTCTTAGTGGACAAAGTTTAATTATCATTAAATAATTAATAATGGATAACATGATATTATAATACATTATTTATATGTTACATTGGATCGTATTTTATTGTGTTTTCTCCATTCTCTTAATCAATTAGAGCTATTATTTTTATATTTTGATATTGCTCTTTTGGTATGTTACTTTTTTGTAGGAAAAGGACTCGATTTGCTAGATGTTTACCTTGATTGTGGTTTGATTTGTTAGAGGAAGCGGTTAGTGTATAAGGGGAGGCATGGCAGCCTTCTTTGCAGCCATGCCACAACCCACCCGTGGCCTATTCTTTTGGCTTTGCACTAGAGTCCTAATAAGATAGAATTTTCATATTTTTCTACTAGGACATAAATTGTGAGTTAGTATTATATACTCCTAGATCATGTACTCCATACCAATTATGATTGAGTTATTTTGCCTAAACCTTATGTTATTTTGCTTAAATCTTGTGTTATTTTGCTAAAATAGTAAATTATTTACTTATTTAATTCAACATGTATAAAAAAACATTATACAAGAATGAAATAACATGTACTTATCTAAAAATAACATATATATAAATTGAAATAATAAGAAGTTCATATCAAAATAACATGAATTTGATAAACTTGAAGTACAGTGAAATGATCGATGTTGAATAGAAAAAATTAAAAATAAAAAAAAATAAAAAAAAAGAAGCATGCAAGTATATAATAACATTTACTTATTTCAAAATAACATATATATAAATTAAAATACTAAGAAGTTAACATCAAAATAACATAAATTTTATAAACATGGATACCTTGGCATGGTACTCCAGGATTAAGATAGAAATTGCGCATAAATTGGTTAATAGGAAGATAGAAAGGAGACCTTTTTCATATTATCATTATTTTAAGTTTATCTTCCAAGCTTTGTTCCATTGAAGATTTTCAAGTCTCCATTAATCCAATTAAAGTTTGTTCTTCCAAGCTTGAAGATTTTCAAGTCTTCATTAATTCAATTCAAGTATTTTCTTTATTCTCTTATTATTATTGTTATTATGCTTTCTCTTATTGTTTATTTTAGTTATTTAATTATTATTATGTGTGAGTAGTTTCATAATATAGGGTTAGGTTGAACACTAATATGGATTGACGTCACTACAAGAAAAAGGGTAAATTCCGACGGACATCTTCCGATGGACACAAAATTCCGTCGAAAATCCTATGTGTTCCGGTGGATTTATATTCCGTCGGAAATTTCCGACGGAATTCCTAAGGAATAAAATTCCGTCGGAATATATGGGCATTCCGACGGAATATTCTGTCGGAAACTTTATATTCTGACGGAAATAAAATCCGTCGGAAGTTTCAGACGGAAAATTCCGTTTAAACATTAAATTTCCGACAGAATTTAAATCCGTCGGAAATTTCCGACGGAATATTCCGTCGCAAATTAATTTAATAATAATAAAAAAACCTCTTTAAAACCTAAAAAAACCCTAAAAACCCTTACACTCCTTTCTCTCTCCCCGCCTCCCTTCTCTTTCTCTCTCCTCTCTTCTTTCCTCTTCCCCTCTTTCTCCTTCCTTCCTCCCTTCTCCTTCCTCAGCTCGGCGCACGCAACCATTCCTCTTCCCATCTTTCTCCTTCCTCTCCTCTTCCCTGATTCTCTTTCCTCTTCCTCTCTTTCTTTTTTTTCGTTTCATTTTCTTTGGCAACTCAAGATTATTTCAAGATATTCAATCACTACTAGAAATAGGACTATTTTCGACGGACAGTTTCCGACGGACATGAATTCCGTAGGAAATTTCCGACGGAATATTATTCCGAAGGAATTCCGTAGGAAATTTCCGACGGAATTATTTTCCGTAGGAAGTTTCCGACGGAATTATTTTCCGTAGGAAAAAAAAGGATTTCCGACGGATTATTCCGTCGGAACGTTAAATTTCCTACAGAAAAAAATCTGTCGGAATCTTCCGACGGATTTTTCCATCGGAATATCAAACTTCCTACAGAAATAAAATCCGTCAGAATTTAGGTTAAAAAAAAAAGAAACCCTACATTTAAAAATAAGATCTCATTCCTATTTTCTCACTCCTCCATTCCGCCACTTTTCTCCTTCTCCCTCCTCTCCTCTTTCCCTTCTCTTCTGGTTTCTACTTCTCCCTCCTCTCATCTCCTCGCCCTTCTCCCTCCTCTTATCTCCTCTTCTCTCATTCTCTCTCCTCTCCTTGTCACCTCCACCAGCACGTTGCTCACCGTACACCACCACCGTACCACTCTCATTCAAAGTTTATGGTCTTTTTGTTCAAATTCGACCTTGAAAATTCCAGATCTGGAATTTTCATGGTCGAGTTTGACCATTTAAACCCAACAAAGATGAAATTTCAAAAGGTATGTTTATTTTTATTTAGTATTGTGAGTTAATTTTGAATTCGTGGGTTTATTTGTGATTTTTTTTTTTGCTTTTATTTTGAATTTCTGAGTTTGGTTTTGCTGAATTTGACTTTTGTATATTCAATTTTGTATTATTTAATTTACTGATTTTGTTTTTGTAGATTCAATTTTGTTTTTTTGATTTTGTTTTGCTGACTTTGCTTATTTGGTCTGTTTCGATTTTTTTTTTTCTTTTTTTTTATGAATTTTCGTTTTTTTTTTCTGGGTGGTGGTGGTCTGGGTTGTGGTGGGATGGTGGTGGGGGTGGGCTGGTGTGGTGGGGTGTCTGGGTGGGGTGTGGTGTCTGGGTAAGTTAGGGGGGTAGGGGGCAGGGGTGAGGTGGGCTGGTGGTCGTGTGGGTGGGTAGGGGAGGAGTAGGGGGGCAGGGTGGTGGGGTGGGCTGGTGGTGGTGGTGGGGGAGGTGGGTAGGGAGGGTAAGTCAGGGGGGTAGGGGGTGGGATGGTGGGTGGGGATCTAGGTTGTGGGGGCAGGGGGTGGTGGGTGGGGCTTTTTTTTCCCCTATTAAATTTTTCGACGGACTTTCCGGTACCGGAAAAACCACTTCCGACGAAAAAATTCTGTTGGAATTGTGTTTTTCGACAGAATTTCCGACGAAAATGGCCGTTTTTTCTACAAAGGGGTTTCCGACAACGTATTCCGACGGATTTTTAAGGTGTACCGACGAAATTTTTCCGTCGTAAATAAGGTGTTTTCTAGTAGTGAATGGCAACTCGTGAAAATCAAGGTTTTCATGTCAAATTCTAGAGTTTTCATGGTCGAATTTGACCTTATAAACCCAATTTCGACGTTTTTTTTTGTCAAATTAAGGTATGTTTCTCTTTTTTTTCTTCGAAATTTTGATTTTAATTAATTTGTTGAATTTTTTGATTTTTTTGAAATATATGGTGTTGGTGAAGTATGGATTTTTTGAATGTTTTTTTTTTGGTGTTTTCGGTGGTTGTTCGGGTGGTGAGGTGGGTTTCGGTGGTGGTGAGGTGGGTTTCGGTGTTCTTTTGGGTGGTTTCGGTGAGGTGGGTTTCGGTGTGGGGAGGTGGATTAAGGTGGTAGGTGGGGAGGTGGGTTTCGGTGAGGTAGGTGGGTGGGTCTGGTGAGGTGGTGGAGGGGCTGGGCGATGGGGGCAGTGGGTTAAGGTGGTAGGTGGGGTTGTGGGTTTCAGTGAGGTGGGCTGGGCGATGGGGGCAGGTGGTTGGGTTGGTTGTGGGTTAAGGTGGTAGGTGGGGAGGTGTGTCAGGTGAGGTGGGGAGGTGGGTGGGTCTAGTGAGGTGGGTTAAGGTGGTAGGGGGCTGGTGGGGAGGTGGCGTTTTTTTTATTTTTTTTTATTGAAATTTCCGACGAAAATTTCCGTCGGAATATACCGTTTTCGACGGAAATTTCCATCGGAATATTCCCCTTCCGACGGAATTTTCCGTCGGATTCCACTTCAGCTCCAACGGAAAATTCCGTCGGAACTTTGCGACGGAATTTCGGTTAAAGACAAAACCAGCTTCGACAGAATGTATTCCGTCGGAAAAGTGGCTTCCGACGGAATTTCCCTCGGAAAACGTCGAATTTCCGACAAGGGCTGTTCCGAGAGACAGTTTCCGACGGAATTCCGTCGGAAGGCCGTTTTCCGACGGATTTTCCCCTGTTTCCGACGAAATAGGTCCGTCGGAATTCAGCTGTTTTCTTGTAGTGCGTGTTAATTGATTCCCAATTCCCAATTTTAATTTATTAATTTATAATTCTTCATTGTTAGGGTTGGTTTATTATCAATAAACAATTAGAAATAGTGTTATTGAATGTGATTAGGTTTGCAATGAGAATTGATTTAATTGATTTTAGAACCCAAACAAAAAGTAAGAGCCTTTATGCATGACAGCATGAAGATAGCTAATTGTTCTTGCTAGGATTTATAGAAAGTCGTTCTTAATGTCTTTAATATGTATGATTTCATGAGAATATGTATGATTGCATGTTAGGGAAGCCGCTTGTTGATCGAAAGAAACTCTTGGTATTGTTATAGAGAGTAGAATATTTATTAATTTAATTAAGGGAAGAGGGATTGTTTTAATGCATTGATTCGTATAAGTGGGGATACATATTCCTACATTTCTACAGTTCTTGGTTTATTCTGATTATTTCGTTGGTAGAATTTAGTTTAATATAATTTATATATTTGTTGGCTACTTGCTTATCTTTAATTCAAGCCAATTTAATTAGTTTAAATCGAATAGTCTCTTAGAATTCGACCCTTGATTACCGGACTACATAATTAGTATGTAAGTTTTATTAGATATTATTTTTTGTTAGGTGCGTGACACGCCTATCAATAAGCAATGTGAATGCAAGATATACTAGCTGGATTTCACCCCTATTTTCTTGTAATTATATTAAGTAGCAAGATATTATAAATTAATTAAACTTGGATTAAATTAGGATATGCATAAAAAGAAGTGGCCATATGTTATGTAATAAAGTTGAATTCATCTTATTTTGACTTATATTACGCAGAACAAATTAAAGTAATATAATCTCTTATAATTTAAATTGAAGTAAGTTCTAATAAATTTATATTTTGAATCACAATAAATTAAATAATATGCTTGTCAAAAAAAAAATGATTTCAAACAAAATATTTTAGCAAAAATAAAAGCTAATGAAATTAATTCTGAAAATAAGTTATGACAATTTATAAATTTCATAGAGTATAAGTTAAAATCAAAATATTAGAACAAAACAAGATGAATCAATCAGGGCGATTCATTAGATGCAACGTATGTAATTGCACAAAAAAAAAAATTATTGACATTAAAGATTAAACCAAGCCTTTATTTTTATTTTTTTGGTAAGGAGGATAATCCTGACTACACCTTAATCTTTACGGTTTTTTTGTTCCAATATTTACGGGTCAGACACTTGAAAGTAGAGGGAGGATAAGGGTATCTTCAATCCCTACCTCAAATACCCTCAGTTGATAGGATTCAAATCTCAGACCTCTTGGAACTGAGATAAAAAAATTAAATAAATTAAAAAAAAAAAAAAAAAAAATCCCGACTATATAAGAACCAAATACAGATGAACCGTGTATCCGTGTAGCGGTTAAGTCGTAAAACAAACTAAGTCGTCCACTGTCATAGTAACAAATCAAAGAAAAATTTTAGGAACCGACTATGGTTTGAAACTTCGAATATTATTAGGATGTTTCATTTAATTTGCTGCTGAAATTACGCGTACATTTCTGCCTTCTACCTTATATAAATAGGGACACGTTATGCGCCGTATTTTTAAGAAATCAAACTAGTAATTAACCACATTTCTTAGCTGCCTTTGTCAACCCCAATCATCCTTATAACACAATGACAGAAAAACAATTAGAGAATGTAAAAGAGAAAATTATGAAAGAGATGAACATTCCCTCCAACACAACGCCTCTTCAAGGTCATGATCGCAATCGAGCAGTGGTGTTCGAAATCATGAACACGGCCGCTAGAAGCAACCTTATCCCACGGGTCATGAACACCAACATCTTGGTCTACATGATGAATGCTGATATGTTGCTGAATTCACTAGCCAACAATTCTCAACTTCTTGCCAATGCCGCTGCTGCGAGGCGTGCGCCTAACACTAGGGCCGCCAGTCCTTCACCACTTTACCTTGCTGTTCTTGACAACAACTTGGACTTGGTCAAGCGCATGCTTAACGAGCCTAATAACGCTCTGGTTGATCTAATGGAAGCCAATTCAATTGTACGTGCTGCTATTAAAAAGCAGAATCAAGGTAAATTAGTTACTCCCTGCGTCCCTAGCCTTTTTTTACAGGTGAGGTGCACGAGGAGCCCCCTCCTATCACAAGGGGGGATGAGGTTCGAACCCTTGTCACACGGGTCTCCTTGTTTCAATGTTAAAGTTATGTATGACTTTTAAATCTTATTCGTCTCTATTAAAATTTTCGTCAAGTCTCTACATTAAAATTAAACGTAAGACATCTATCTACCAAATTATGTCCTCAACGTTTTATCGATTAAATGAAAATTTTACAGTACTCTTTTAAAATATGACTACCATAATGTTTTAATGATTATATAATTTATAATTGACATATTTTTTCCAAGTAATTAAATATATTACTTTAGTAATGGTATTAGATAATATTATCAACATTTTTTTGATTTATCAAATTTTTAGTTTCATTTATGTAATTTTTATTCTTATTTTATAGTTTCTCAAAAGATATTTATTTTATGTTGGATTAAAATGTTCAAAATTTATATTTACATTGTAGATATTATAAGACTAATTGTGGCCATTAACGTGAAAAATTGAACCGATTATATTATATATCATTAAAATAATATGGTAGTCATTTTTCAAATAATCAATGTTTAAATTCCTACAGAAATGCTAGAAACTATACTCGAGGATCAACCCGATCTAATCTACAACACCGATGAAGAAGGATTAACTCCACTTTCTTATGCTGCAAATAATGGCTTCACTGGCATGGTTCGCTACATCCTCGAAAAGTTTCCTACAACAAGAAGAATTCGCAACAACGATAAATCTTACCCGATACACAAGGCATGTCTAGGAGGCCATGTTCAGGTCTTAAAAGAGTTTTACTCTTTATTTCCAAAGTCGTTGCTCGAAGATGTTCATCATGGGCGAACAGTGCTGCACGTAGCCGCTAAAGAGCGCAGCAACAAGCTGAAAGATGTAGTCGTGTACTTGTTGAGCCTAAAAGAGGGTAAAGAGCTCCTTAAGAAGAAAGATGAAAATGGTCGTATACCCTTGGATTTAGCTACTAATCTTGAGGTAGTGGATTTAATCAAAAGAAACATGTGTTAATATTAGACGAAAATAAATTAGCTTGTGAATGTTGTTGTGTTGCTGTTAAATAGTGCTTGTTTGGAAATAAAAAATAAAAATAAATAAATAAAAAAAAGCTAGTATTCTACAATTTATATGATAGATATAAACGTACATGTAATTTGATTTGAGAAATTACTATATACAGTGTAATAATAAAAATAGATGATACCAAAAATTAATTTTTTTTTTATATACTACTTATTATATTTAAGAAAATAGATTTGGTTATCATAACAATTATGTGTGTACTCTGTATCCTTTTATTAATTTTATAGAGAATTGATTGTTGTTTTCCTTAGCTTGTAATGGCATAATGGTATTGTGTATTTCAGTATTTGTAATCTTTTTCTTTAATATTCAAGGTTGTATTCAAGCTTGTAATTTTATCACACTAATTCTTGTTTGTGATCGGTCACATGGTATATAGTGGCTACATTTATTTATAAGAATATTTATTCATTCATACAAGTAACCTCATATGTTATTTAAAAAAGTACTCCATAAAGGAGTTTATAATTCAGACTTCCTTCTGGGTTTTTTTCCGGAAAATTCAACCGCTTTCCACGCGCTAGATATGTAACCTTTGAAGAGTAGCTAGGTTGAGGTGCTAGATCAATTTCAAATTTAAATCTCATACAGTACCAAACAACTACCAAAATCACAACTTTATACAAAAATCACATATTTCGTATTTTGGTACAAATTAAATTAGATACTATCATACTAAAACCACATATTTTGATATGGAGTACAAAAATGTGCTTATAAAGCAGCCATAGGAAAGTGCTACAGTCAAACTTCACCAACCTTTGGATACCACATATTGACATGCTCCGATCCGTATGTCGGCTTGCATCCTTTTGGAACTAAGGACTAGCCAGAATAGCCAATGAGAAGCAAGCTGGCCTTATCAACAAATCTGAAAACTGGTCAACCAAAATTAATACGTAGTAATAGTAATAATATAAACATTAGCATGCAAATAGCATTTTGCTGCTTCTATTCAAATGATCACTTAAAATCAAGTACTGTATTAAGATTACGACCAACAATAATGACCGAAGTTATTCTAAGATTTGGTTGCTATCTAGCTAGAATTGTCTAGAACCGTGGATTATTAAATTAGTTTATTACTCGTACTATTGTGCATTGCTTTCTTAATTGTTGTTATATGTTTGATATGTTAACCTTTATACAAAAGTTAGTTTCTTAAAATGAGAAGGATAAATGTACAAAAACTTTCACTGAATATGCACATTTTTTTTCTACTAAATGTGAAGAAAAAAAAAATGAGTTGAACATGATATTACTTACTTATATGTACGAGTAGTTAAGTTGACTAAAAAGTTTGTTATGCATAATCAAATGTAATAAAAGTATTATTTAAAGGAAACAAAAGAAGTACTACGTAAACCTTAAATTTATATTGTGATTTATTTGGTGACGTATTGAATATATAGATGTATAATTTTCTTTGTAGTTTAGAAATCTTGACTTTACACTTTATAATGTACAACTTTGATTATTAGCATATACATTTTCCAGTTAATTTTGTTGATAGATTTCTTCTAGTCATGTTTGTCAGTATATAATTTCAACTACAAATATTTTTTAAATTAGTTGACACATTTTTATTTGTCAATACTTACAAGTTGCAACAAACTAATAAGCTTAGTTTAAGAAAAATAAAGAAGAATTGTTGTTACAAATTTAATTTAAGATTGTACCAATTGAACTATTACCCTTAAAAAAAACGAGGGGTATAACAAGCTACACTGCCTACATATACATCAATACATGATACATCTTATGAGTTTCATTCCATCCTCAATTATTACATAACAAGGTCTTTTTATATTAAAATGGCACCCACCAAACTTTATTGTCGGCTTTACATTTTTTACTCTAAGAAACCAACAACGAATTGAACCGTCCCCCCGCTTAAAAGGACACAACTATCCAATAATACACTAACTACTGTAACTAGTACTTGGTATTATATTAGCTCAAGTGCTCTACCCTTCATTCTACCACTAGAGCTCAGCTCACCCCACTCATGGATGCTCAATTACAACCCCGACAAATTCATCCCACCAATGATCACTACCACCCACAAAGCCACCCAAGCCGTAGTAACAGCACTCCTGAAATCGGCTCATCGTCGCGGTCATCATCGAATTCACCTTCAGGAATCACCCGTACACTATCATCAGATTCGCAACCCGAGACGCCGATTAACCGTATTAATGCCCTTCACTACTCAATGCTCATCAATAACGACATCGTTGGCTTGCATAAAGAAATCGGCCACGACTGCAATTACTCGAGTCTAGTCTTAGAAGACAACAATGACACCATCCTTCATATAGCAGCAAGTCTTGGCCTAACAAACATAAATACAATCATACAACGAAGTCCGCAACTTCTTGACCTTCAAAACACTAAAGGTGATCTTCCTATCCATGTTGCTGCACGGTCGTGCCAGATTGAGGCTGCCAAGAGTCTACTGTTTCAAGTTAATCAAGCCGATTTGATTAAATGGTTGAAGAGACCAAACGAAGATGGCAATACTGCCCTACATATAGCATTAGAGAATCAACAAAAGGAATTGGGTAGGTATTTGTTTGCAAAATGCCCAAATACGTTCTATCAGTTGAATTTTCATGGGTTTTCTCCCCTTTATTTGGCTATCAAAGCCGAGTTTTGGGATCTTGTTAAATTCATGCTCAGTGAAGATTTTGTTACTTCAGAGTCTGAGGAGAAATTATCAGCAAGATCGGCAAAATCAGTTGTTCATGCTATTATTCTAGCAAAAAAGAAAGGTACAAATAAAAATACTCTCCTTTATAATGTTTTTTACTTTGTGTTTATAGGGTGATCCTTTTTTAGATTTTTAGGTAACATTTGATGTCTCACAAAGTCACAAGTCACGAGAAGTTGGTCTAATAAGAGGTGTCAATTCCAGTGACTAGATCGGGTTAAATTGGGTCTAGTCGGGTTGGGTCTAGTTTGAGTTTGAGTCATACTAATCATTGCTCCCATACAATTTGAAATTGAAATCCAGTCATGTTATATCATATGTCCAATTAGTCTTTGCCCTTATGAGTCATATCCTTTTTATAATTAGCTCAGATTGAAAGACTATTTGGTACTTTCAAGTATTTTACATCATGTGACGGCTATTGCAATTTTTGGGCATTAAAAATCAGAAATATTGATGAATTTTACCAATTTAAGCTATTAGGTATGATCGTTTAAGACTTTTAGCCAATAATAGTAACAGTGTTTCATGAAGTACGGAGTAAGTACCTTATTATTTGATTGGTATTTCAACTGAAAAATTGAGCAGATATCTTCGAAATGATGTTTCAAAATTACAACGAAATGGTCCTATATAAGACAGATGAACTAGGAAAAACACCATTGTCATACGCTGCCTATACAGGCTTCCTAGACGGGGTTAAGTGCATAATCAATGATAAGAATTCTCAAAACCAAGCCTACAATATCGACGAAAAAGGCTACTATCCAATCCATTGGGCTTGCAGCGGAGGCAATGTTGAAATAGTCAAGCTTTTTATATCCTGTTTGCACGATAACACGAGGTTTATGCTAACCAAAAATGGACGGAACATCCTTCATGAGGCTGCCGCGAATGGGAAAGCTAAGGTTGTCAAGTTTATCTTAGGACAGCCGGAGCTCGGGATGATGATCAACATGAAAGATGGAGAAGGCAACACTCCCTTGCATTTGGCTTCAAAGTGGAGACATCCTAAGGTGGTTTATCAATTTACTTGGGATGATAGGGTCAATTTATCTGCTCAGAATAAGGAGGGATGCACTGCCCTTGACATTGCTGAGGATATTGGACTAATCGGAGATCATATTCCTTCGTTTGAAGAGGTACGCATTATTGCATATAAGCATTAAATGTATTTTCTAAATTAATTAAATTTGATAACAGGTGACTATTTTGGACGCTAACCTTCTAATTGAATAAAATGAACATAGTCCAAGTTTCCTTGTTTCGTTTACACAGTGTAACGTTCATTATAATAATTGTTTTAAGTGTTGAACTAATGATTAAAATAAATCCGACTATATGAACCAAATCTTCCTTTACCAATTAATTTTTTTATTAGCGGGGTGCCAAGACACATTTCGAAAGTTCAATGGTCCCAATTCAAGTAATAATTAAATCTGTCTTGAACCTAGCTTTTAGAGTCTTCGTTTACTAGTCAATTATTTGTCTTTAGCTTACTCTTATGAATCTTATCTAATCAAATCATTACTTTAGCTAGTAAAAATTATTGAAAAGAAAGGCGGCACAAATTAAAGTTCAAGATTATGACATTACTAAATAGAGCATAACATGGTGATGCATGTGCTGTTGTTCACCCGTTAGTGATAAAGAAAGGTTTTGTTAGATTTTAATATTTTATAGCGCAAACACCTTCTAATTCTAGATTTTTATAATGAAAGTGTGACAATTAAAACAAAAAAATAATGCGCAGTTATTTAATTATTAGATTGTATTTGAGTAATCCACCTTTCAATGCAAGAATTATTTTATAATACAGTGATTGAACATTCATGCCTTCATGGGGCAATTAAAAGAATTTAAAGGATTAAATTATTTTGTGAGTAGTAGAAAAGTTAAAATTTTGCTGTAAAAAGATTATTTACTTACTTATTCTTTTGAATGAGTATATGTTTATGTCACTGTAAATTAACTAAATTGGGTGAGCCCAATCGGACCCAAGGCTATATATGTTTAAAAATAAAGTTGAACATATTATATTGAGTTATGTAATTTCGAATATTAAATACGATCTAATTTAATTTTTAAATATCCAAAATTTTAGATCAGAAAAAAGCAATCTGACTCTAATACAAAAATATCCGAAATTTTCAAATATTCGAGTTTACGGATTGTATCACATAATCTTTCAGAATAAATATAATCTACATTTGGATTTGATTTTTGGATCGAGTCAAATGGATCAAATACACGGAGTATGTACACAACCTTATTAACATGATCTCATATTCTTATTCTTGTCTAGTTCTTTCCTTTAGTTTTCCATAGTCTTTTTCTTCCCATAGTAAGTGCATGTACCTATGTTATTTATTCTTATAATATTTTCTTCCACTTTACAATTTTGCAGCGGTTGACTTGGTTATCCTTGAGAAATGCCGGTGTTCCAAGAGCCCCACAACTACACAATGTAAACATAAACATAGTAGGGCAAGACATGACTAGGAATAACTCTTTTGGTACCCAAACCGCCTACATGTTACTTGACCCAAAAGGAAACCCAATAAGGAACCATCCCTTAAGGAAACGTAAACACAAGTACAAGGAAAGAATCAACACACTTCTATTGGTAGCTACCCTAGTAGCCACCGTGACCTTCGCCTCCGGCTTCACCGTCCCAGGTGGTTTTAACAACAACAATCCCAAGGTAGGTATGGCTACCCTTGCCCACAAGTGTGCCTTCCAAGTTTTTGTGATAACCAACACCATCGCGATGTATACCTCCATCCTCACTATGGTCACCCTCATTTGGGCCCAGCTCGATGAACTTAGGCTCGTCTTGCTATCACTCGACTTTGCGGTACCCTTGCTTGGGACTTCCCTAGCCATGATGTCGGTGGCGTTCATGGCGGGTTTGTATGTGGTGTTGTATAATGTAGTTTTTTGGCTAGGCCTTGTGGTATTAGTCATGGGAGGGATGTTCTTAGGGGCATTATTAGTTTTCTTTATTCCTCTCTATTCGCCAAGATCTTGTATTAGGAATAAGATATTGCGTAATGTTTTTCATGTTCCCTTCGCCCTCATGTTGTTAGCTTGTGAGAAGGATAAGAGTGGAAAACATTATTGATTTTCTCTGTATATATTTAAGAGATGTAAATTAAAGTATTGTTAATTAATGTTCTCTAGTTAGTACGAACTTACAATAAAAACTCATTGGGTTCTTAGTTCTTACAATAACAATTGGAAAAGAAACTGTGGGCCCGATCTTAATATGGGCTCTTAGCCACTTAATAATGTACTGTTAAGATTAATGTCAATTTGGGCCATCTAGTGATCTATAAGGTAATGAGGTTCAATAACCCATCAATGCATCTTCTTCGCAACTTTGTCAACGTGAGTCATAGAGCCGTGAACAACGATTCATTGTATCATGAGATTCATGACTCATGTATCCCATCAATCTCTCAGGGGTGTTTGGTTAGTAGAATTTAGGTATGACGTATTGACGTATGAGTTCGAAAGGAACATATAAAAATAAAGAAATATTATATATATAACAAAGGTAAGATCTTATTCTCTTCACCTTAAATTAATAGTATTCAGTAAAATTATGTTCAGTTCAGTTCAGTAAAAGAAAATTAATCAGTTAACATCAGTAACTTTAAAGAACAAATATAATAGACAAACAATAACAATAATTTTAGTTTAATAAAAACAATTTTAGTTCAACAAAAATAAGGTGAAAATAACATAGCCTAACTAAAAATAAAGCGATCTTTTAACAACGACAAAATATCTAAGAAACGAAAGCAACATATATAAATGTATTTAATTAAATAAATTAATTTGTAAGTATAGAGTATTTGTGCAAAATGAATCCACGTGCGTGGAATATTTGGCAATAGCAATAGGTAGTAACTTGGCAAGTTCTGGACAACGCAAAATAAGCCAAGTGTCCGGTCGGCGGTCCCCTAATGACCCACCCATCTTAGTTGTGAACCTGTTACCGCACGTGCCTCTCCATGACTACTTGGCCATTTGTGGTCAGCTCTTCACGATTGACACTCACGTTTACCCGCATTCTTTATAGCTCCGTTTCCATTCACATACCCACTTACATACATACAGATACTCCGTTTTTTGTTTTTTGGAAATCCACCCACTCAAATACGAAATGCTTCCGTCATTTTATGAACCTTACAAAGTTGATTCATATCCGATTATTTACCTAAATATTACAGTACTTTTAATTTTAGAAAAAATTGCCTAGAATAATCCTATCTTTACCTCACCCGCCCATAATAATCCCACCTTTCGATTATTTTTTAATAATACAACCTTTGATATCAATCCGCTCAAAATGGTCCCAACCTGTCATGTAACTTGTTATAACAAGTAACTTGACACGTATCGGCCTGTGATTTGTCAAAAAAATAAAAATAAAATAAAATAATTTTTAAAAAAAAGTTAAATAGTTTTTTAAAGAAAAAATAAATAAAATTAATTATTTAAAAACCACCAGCAGCCCAAGCCTTCCCGCCGCCCCTGACACCCCTGCCCTGTGGCTCCGGCCACCCGGACCCCCAACCCCAGCGCCAGCACCGGCTCCGACGGCGCGCCTGAACCCTTTACCAGAACTACCGACCCGCCTCCCTCCCTCGTGAAACCAGGCAACGTTTAAAATACGCTTGTATAGACACCTGATTGTGTCTCCCCAAAAACCAAACCCATTGATGAGTACATTTTACGTCTTTAATTAACGAGTTCGGTGAAGAGTTGAACAATCTCGTGAAATCTCCTTAAGCCTTGACCACCCCCCTAACCTTTCCTACAATATTTTAAACCAAAATAATTCATTTCGTGTCTTTTAACCCAAAATCATTCATTTCATGTCCTTTAACCCGAAATTATCCATTTCGTGTCTTTTGACCCAAAATCATTCGTTTTGTGTCCAAGTCATAAAAACGTCCAAACTAGCTTAGATTATTTTGGTCTATAATCCCGGTCCAATTATTGTTTAGATGAATAGGGAGTTTTCCAACGATATATTATAAGCCCAAATTCGACTTAAAACGAATAAATTATGGTCAAAATACTAAATCGAGCCCAAACCGAACCTAGGTCCACCTTACCTACGACCCAATGATCATATGAGGGTCTAAATATCTCATTTTTAATCTTAAACCAATTAGGAATTTTTAGGACTCTTTTAAAAATCTCTAGAAGGTTCTAATCTATCCTCCCCGAAAAGTTAAAGATCAAAGAGTTCGAGATTGAATAAAACTTCTCATATGATAATCCTCATCCTGTTCGAATGCAAAGACGTTCGGATATATTTCACGATCATATTTTCATTAGAAATCAAATTCCGTACATATTAGATTATCCTTTAAAACCAGTGCACAACGCCAGGACCTACACACAACGATGGTCCCAACGCGATGCGGCGCGTCAGAGTCAGTTTTACTTCCATTCAAATTCTGATCTTTTTTTTTATCGTCCAGACTCTTTTTTTCCCTAAAAATAGAGGTCGTTTTCCATGTTTTCAAATCAGCTAGAACCATCAATCATAAGCTATAACCAACTTGCTCCAATCATCATCAATTCTTATTGATCATCAATCATCCCATGTTCTTAGCCCAAACACATCCTTGATACTCTCCCAAATTAGTCACAATACCTCATTCACGAGTTTCGAATACTCTAAGCCATCCTCAACGTTGCCTTCGACCTCGACGTGAAAGGTTGATAATTTTGAGGGTTTGGTCCCAAATCTATATTTCAATTCATATTTGATTTATTTACTTTATTGATTTAACTTTCTTGAAGTTTACTAACGCGTGTATTGTTTTAATAGCAAGAAAGTCGAGGCATCAAAGTGAGTAATTCAATTACCTTTTTACTACTCTTTGATTTTGGAGTAGAAATCATGCTTACAATGTTATTTTAATTTATAGTATCATGATTAGGATGTTATTATGATTTCTAGCATCATGTTTAGGTTAACGCTTTGATTTTGTTATTAGAGTGACATACTAGGATTTGTTATCAATCCGTTTAGTATCATGCCTAGAATCTTATGGCTAGCGATGCTTTGATGATGTTCATATGATGATGATTGTTATATTAATCATATCTTGCTTAATTATTCATGATTTATTGCCATTACTTGATCACGCCCTTTCTTGCAAGTTTAAAGGGAATTTGTACTTGAAATCACGCCTAATAAGATAATTAATAATTTGAATTTAGGCTTAATATGATTTTAATTCAAGTGATCACCAATATTAGATTTGATTGTGCATTAATAATCAACCAACATAGATTAAACAGGTTTAGGGTTAATTTGATGTATGTATGTTGATCAAAAAGCGCGCATGAATAACATAATAATTAAGTAAAGGCCTATTTAGGGCGGGTTCAATCTCTTTAAGGTTGGATTCGTACCATCATCACCGAACATCTAGTTGTGGTTTCGGACCACTATGGAGTTAGCGATCTCTGTGATCGTGAATGGGGTATAACCTTCACACCCGTGAACGATTTACAAGTTCCTAAAACTTGTTGGCTACTCTTTTTCTCTAGCTTATTTTCCTTAGAACGCCGCGATGCCTAAAAGCATGAACCATAATAGGGCGGAGTTGAAAAATTCCCTACAGTCGGCGAGCCATAAAATCATCTCGCCACCCTCAAAAACCCCAGCTCTGTCCTATCCCGGCCCCCTCCCCTTCCCGGTCCCAATTCCGGCACCTCTCCCCTTCCCGATTCCGGTCTCCCTCCCCTTTCCCCGACGCGAGTTAGGCCTCCTTCACATTCCCCACCACGATTTCGGCCTCTGTCACTCTCCCTTGCCTTGATTTCGCCCACCCAGACCATCCACAATACCGACGACGACGCGAGCTCCTGATGGTTGCTGCAATTCGGCGATCGAGTATTATGGTGGCTGGGGCTAGTGGAGGGGGTGGCTGGCTTATTGCTTTTTTATTTTATTTTTTTTATTTAAAGTTTTAGACAAATTGTATGGTGACACGTGTACGTTGAATCCAATTTTATTTTATTTTATTTTATTTTATTTTTTTGTTAACAAGTAACCGGTCACTTGGCACCATTTGGAGCAGATTGGGTATGCAGGTCGGATTATTTAAAAACAATTGAAAGGTGGGATTATTTTGGACGAATGAGGCAAAATGTAGGATTATTCTAGGCAATTTTACCTTAATTTTAAGACTCACAAATGTCATTTATTATTGTCTTAACTTATTTGTTATATTTCCCTATTTTGAAAATTAGATCTCGTTATTATAAATAAACACATTAAAAATAAAATACAATTGAGGGGGTCTAATGATGAAATTGATATCTCATCCTATCTTTATCCATTGTTGTTCTTCCCCCACTTCACCTTGGTCACTCTCCATCTTTCTCCATGACCCCACTTGTACTGTTTGTCCAATCAGAAGGTTTCCTCAAAAGTATTATCAGGGATCGGATCTACTATTACTTTTCTTTCTAACCTTCATGCATCATTCATCCGTCAAAACCATACTTTTTCCAACGAAATTTTGGAATTTTTATTTGGTTAAACTTAAATATTTTATTTCCCGAGAGCATACATACACACAAATACATGATTAATATATATTTGTTTTTAGAAGTAAAAAGAGTTTATTACTACAATCTCAATATTATACTCCGTATAATGTTTAGAAGTATAGAAGTCATGCATAGATGATATACAAAAAGATACATTATCACTTTGCTAATTTACATTCTCATAATTATGGAGATATTTATTAGTCACTATTTCAGTTACCCATAGTGTTTTATTTGCAAATCAATAGTAATATCAATTTGCTATAATTATGGAGTATTAGAGATGAATATGTTCCATCTTGAGAGATCACTCCATGTAAGCATTATTATTTTCAAACGAGCTAACCATCTACCATATACATGTTGTATTTGTAAGTTTTTTTTTTGCGACTTAAATATTTTGATCATTTCTTGTGTCTTCTTTTTCAATTGATCCGAATACTTTATCCATTAGATGTTGCTTAACTTTTATCAATCTTAACTTAAATAGCAAATACTCTTATTCTATATTTGTAATTAAAACAATATCATTTCTCCGTACATAATTAAAGAAAAAATAAAAACATTATAATAACCCAACCCCATGAATTGGGGGCAAAAAAAGCGAATCTTTGATATTTAACCACGGACCACGAGTCACACAGTATGATTTCAAGTAACAATATTATAAAATTCACAAAAAGTAATCATTCCATATTTCCAACAATAATAAAATTAATAAATATTCACCAAAAATAAATAAAATTAATAAATTCCGAAAATAAAAAACGCAAAAAAGAAGAAGAGGCAATCTCCTCGTGAGCAGGCTGTCACGGTTGCCTAACTGCCTCAACCTTATACTACAATCCAAATCAATTTTCTCTCTCCTCCTCCATTTCATCTTCTTCTTCTTCACTCCCACAATCCACACGCTTCTAGAGAGAGAAACCCAGATCAAATCTAGAGAGAGAAACTCCAACAACAAGATTGCGAAACAACGGGAGCTTGGCGGCGGCGCCAACGGCGAGGAGAGAGAAAATATGGGCGGAGGAGCGTCCGAAAGACTACCCACTTGGAAGGAGAGAGAAAATAATAAGAAGAGAGAAAGAAGAAGACGAGCTATTGCTGCTAAGATCTTTACTGGTCTTCGTGCTCAAGGGAATTATAAGTTGCCTAAACATTGTAATAATAATGAGGTTTTGAAAGCTCTTTGTAGAGAAGCTGGTTGGATTGTTGAAGAAGATGGTACTACTTATCGCAAGGTCAAATCTCTTTTTGTTTTTTAGATCTGATTTTGATTTTGGTTGGTGTTTGATTGATTTTTGGTTGTTTTTTTGATTGATTTTGATGGGGGGATGTTGAATCGTGGTGATTTTAAGAACCCTAAGTTGGGATTAATTTGTTGCTTGATTTGATTTGGATAGATTTGGGGTTTTTGTTGTTTTTGCTTTGAAGTTGACGAAATGCCCAGATTTGTGCTTTTTTGTTAGATTCAGATCTTTTTACCTTTGACCCAGATTTTTTTAATGAATTTGGTATGAAGAATTAGATTTTTAATTCTTGATTCAATGTTTTCTGGGTATTGTTTGATTCAATGTTCGGTTGTGGCATTTTGTGAAACGAATGAATGTGGCAAAATAATGTGATTTTGATGAAGCTAGTATTGTGCTGCAGTTACTATGTGTGCTAATGTAATTGCAATTACAGGGATGCAACCCACCACCAATGGATATGGCGGGGACATCGGCGAATATTAGTGCGTGTTCTTCCCTTCAGCAGAGTCCACAATCATCAGCATACCCTAGTCCCATACCTTCATATCATGCCAGTCCTACATCTTCTTCATTCCCAAGCCCTTCACGATATGATTCAAATCCGTCGAATTATTTGCTACCTTTCCTTCGTAATTTGGCATCTATTCCTAAAAATCTCCCGCCCATTCGGATATCAAACAGTGCCCCTGTAACTCCTCCGTTGTCTTCCCCGACTTCTAGGGGCTCAAAGCGTAAAGCTGAGTTTGAGTCCTTGTCGAATTCAAATGGCTCTGGCTCTCAACAATCTGCTGCTCGTAACTCATTTTTTGCTGTGTCAGCCCCATCTAGCCCTACACGGCGCAACAACACCACCCCACCTACTATACCAGAATGTGACGAGTCTGATGCCTCGACTGTTGATTCTGGTAGATGGGTGAGCTTTCAAACAGGGCCATCCTTAGGTACTCCATCTTCTCCTACATTTAACCTTGTGAAACAAGCTGTTGCACAGAGAAGTTCGATGCAGGGGATACTCAATGGGACTATGGCCCTCGGATGGGGAGGTGCTATGGAGAGAGGACGTGGCCCGGAATTTGAGTTTGGAAATGGTGCTGCTGTTATGGCTTGGGAAGGAGAGAGAATACATGAAGTGAGCACGGATGATTTGGAGCTCACGCTTGGTAGTGCCAAGGCCAAATGCTGAAGGTACTCCTGCAATTCTCATGTCTGCCTCTGCCAATCGAATGGAAGCTGCTGGTACTTTCTGAAATTGGCATCTCCAGTAAAAACTCAACTGTACAGGTTTCCTATAGAATGGGAGCCATTTCGGAGGCCTGAAATCGCTATATCATGGTAGAGCAGCAGACTTTGGATGAGATTATTTGAAAGCTGGGTAAGCATTTTTATGATTTATTATAACATGAAACAGAACCTCTGGCAAGTTGGAAAGGCAGGCCATGTCAATGTTGCGACCCCTGTGTTTGTTTTTCGAGTTTTCTTGAGCATAAATGGTTGTTAATATCAGGTTTTATTTGTGAGTTGTGACTTTCGAGTGTTGAACTAGGTTCGCTTTAGAGGCTTAGAAATGTAGAACTTTTAATTTATGTTACATGTCCGAGAGTAATTCAGACACAATATAGTGGTGACTAGTGTAGTAATTCTAAGCAGCCCCCTGGAAATTAAACTGTATTATTTTCTTTGAAATAGCAGCATCCAATTTCGGTGATGATGAATTATTCATTTAAATGTTAAAAATTGCTTCTTGAATGATTATTGCAATGTTACAGAGCTTTGATTGCTGTATCTTAAGCTATATGCCTATATTCATGCTTTGGGGAACTCAATTAATGATAATCTTGAATTATCGACCATTGCTGCCAGTATAATCAGATGTATAGGATTTGCTGTAGAATTCGATTCATCTGTGTTTTTCTCATTGATAGCTCTTTCGTTAAATTTGATTAACCTGCTGATTTCTCATTTCATTACTACTGATTGACAAATCCTGAAATATTTTGCTGCCCTTTGTTTTATTAAAAGGAAAAATTGGTAAAAATAATCCCAACTTATACGTATTTGCTTTAAATAATCCCAATTTCGGATTATTTTTAAATAATCCCAATTTTGGGGTGTATTCGCTTTCTTTGGTCCCTAACCGGTTACTAACCTATTATAACAGGTTATTGGAACATGTGGCATCATGTGATTTGTTATTAGTACCGAGGCAATAGAGGCAATCGCGCAGGAGTTCAACATGTTGAAGTATGTGTTCATTGCTACTAATGCGAGGTGCTTGTCCCACAATTTTTATCTTCCGTATGTGAAGAAAGAGGCGAACCGGGATGAACTAATTTATGCTCCTGAGAGTGAACCGATCATGGATGATGATCTATTTAAATTCATCTTTTCCCTCCACGACCAGACCATCAAGGAATTAGTCCGTATAGCATCCCACATGGCAGCCGCCGATGGCATTTTGGTGAACACGTGGGAGGATCTCGAGGCCAAGACACTTAATTCATTCAAGGAAGAAAGGTTCATGAAGCATATTTCTAGAACCCCAGTTCATTCGATAGGACCGTTGGTTCGAGCAGGTGAACCAACAGGTTCAAAACCCGAGTTAATGAACTGGCTAGACCGTCAACCAAAAGAGTCCGTGGTTTATGTTTCATTTGGGAGTGGTGGAACGTTATCAGCACAACAGACTGTTGAATTAGCCTGGGGTTTGGATTTGAGCGAGCAGCGATTCATTTGGGTGGTTCGGCCTCCTACAGAAAATGATAGCTGCGGTTCTCTGTTCAAGTCCGAACATAGTGGTGAGGACACTCTTTTCAAGTACCTACCAGATGGGTTTTTGGATCGAACTCGCGATGTGGGTTTTGTGGTGCCAATGTGGGCACCACAAGAGGAGATCCTGACCCATGGATCAATAGGTGCATTTCTTAGTCATTGTGGGTGGAACTCGTCACAAGAGAGTATTGTGAATGGGGTGCCTATAATCACTTGGCCTTTGTATGCGGAGCAGCATTTGAATGCTGTTTTGCTGACAAGAGAAATTGGGATTGCGGTCGGACCTCAGGTGGATCCTAGCAAGGAGCTGGTGAAAAGATATGAGATTGCGAAAATGGTGCGAAGGGTGATGGTGGACGAAGAAGGGATAGGCATAAGAACAAGGGTTCATGAGTTTAAAGCAAGTGCAAAAGAGGCCTTAAGTGAGGGTGGTACTTCCTACATTGCACTGTCCAAGATAGTTGAAAAATTTGTGATATAAAAACTTTGCTATGAGAATGTGATGTTAAGTGTAGTACTGAGTACTTAAGAAGGCTATATAACTTATATTGTGTCTATTATCGATCTATTATCGATTAATTGAGGCACCAAAATAATAATATAGAATGGGAAGTACAAAAATTTTAGCTTTTCGTATCAAGATAGGGTAATATAGTATGAATTGCAACCATTAAACAACTAACTAATAATATTAATCTGAATGTAGAATTATTTACTATAACATGTCGATTGCCGTTTACTCGTTTATATTACGTATCCATTATTGTTTAAATTAAGTTTTGTTTGGATTTTCTTCATATATGCACATACCTATATTATACATAGCAAATGTAATATTAACATAAGTTTTCTATAATGTATGTATTTTTGGCCCGTTCAATACTTTTATCCTGAATTCGCCCATTGACTCTAATTGTTAGGGTATTGTTTACAAATTGTTGGAATATTGTTTATTTGGGCCTAGTCCACAAATGAAAATAAACAAAGTCCAAAAGTAAGGTTCAACTCTACGGCCCATATGTCAAGTCATTCAACAAGTCCGATCAAAAGGTCAGCCCTTTTGATTCATCAAGCCCACTCCATTCATTTGGATAAAGGTATAAAAGCCATTACTTGGCAACATTTACATTCATTCTCATATAGCCTCAAGCAACCAAATATCTTGCATAGCTATTCTCTATACTTTTATACACCAAACTGACTTCGGCATCGGAAGGGCCTTCCTCGGCACACCCCCGAGGCCAGCTTACGTGTATTTTGCTGTGCAGGAAATCCTCAATCCGGACATCACTCGGGTTGGGCCTCGTCTCCACTCACACGAAAGGACCTGCTGAAGGTCCATTGTTTTTTAACCGAAACACAAATAATCCATTAAAATTTATTTTTAAGTACAACCAATGACCCGAATCCACCCGATGGAGGGAACCAATCCCATATATGCTATAGACAATTAAAAGATATTGTGTTTTGCGTAAGTTCTGAAAGATTTTCCACTTCTTGTAAAGTACGAGGAGTATAGAAAAAGAGTCAATGGTCAATATGACTTAGTAACCACCAAGTACGGCCTTCAATTGATGAAATCAGCATTAAACTTCAATTCGAGCAAGACTCGTGGAATGTGGTATTCCCTGTTGAATACGCTGCTGATTTTTCAAACACGGTAATACCAATTTAACTACGGAGTAGTTAACAATGTTTGATAATCAAGTATAGGAGGTACAATTTTTGAAAATGATGGATTTTAAGGAAAAGTGTGCTCACTTTGTTTGATTCTAACGTGTTTGAACCTTTTATTTAAATCCTAAACATAGCTAATACGGAGTATATTATTGAGTAATTAATCTACAAAGTATTTTAGCTGTGAATTGAGTTTAGCTTATAGACTTATCTAAATTACTCAAAACTAAAATGAGGTACGCAATCTAAAGTTGAAAGAATTTATAAAAATTACGGAGTAATTAGTAAATACAAATAAAAATTAAGTACATTACTAGTCTCATTTTTAAACAATTTTGTATGAGTATAGTATTGAATAACCTTAATATAGCAATGTTTGGTGGCAATTAGTTAAGAAAAATTTGATTCTAATAATTCAACCTTTGCGCAGTCATTTTTTTTTTTTATTAATCCGATCTTTTGATTATTCTACAATAATCCAAGCTTTGGGGGCATTCTATTCTATTAGGTCAAAGTGACCTGCTATCTGTTCTATAGGTATAGTATTTTTTTTTCATTTTTATTTTTTTTAAGTCAGAAAAGTTGAAAAAGAATTTTTTTTAAAAAAATCAGCCCTTCCCTTCTCCCATTGATTCCGGCAGCTGAATCCCTGTCCGGCAACCACTCCAAATTCCGGCCACTCTCTCCCTCTGACCTCCCTTTTCCGGACAACCTCTCCCCCTTCCCCTCTCTTTCCGCCGTTCCGGCCATCCCTCCCCTCCAGCCACACCTCACTATACAAAAACCCAAAATTCCAATCAACACTCAGAATTTCAAATTCAAAACCTAGAAACAAGGGCTTGTTCTTTGATGTTTCAAGCAAAACCCGAAAACAAGGGCTTTTGAAGAAGATGATTTGATGTTTCAAGCAATTGAACCTTCAATTTGAGGCATTCACTGGGTAAAGAAAGTCCCCATAGTATGATTTCCTGCTATGGAGGGAAGTTGAAACAGAGAGAAAAAGAAAGAAGAAGAAGGATTTGGGGGAGAGAGAATTTGAAAAAAAAATCGGCGGTGGGGTGGGGATTTGCGATAGTTTCGATGGTGGGTGGGGGTTTCTAGGTTCAGGATGTCGTGTTTCTAGGTTTTGACCAGGGTGGTGGCTGGTGGGGTGGGGTTCCTTGCTGCAGGTGGTGGAAGTGGAGGTGTGGTGGGCGGAGGTCTGGCCGGAAGTGGGAGCCATTCATGGAGGTGTGGAAGGGAGAAAGAAGATGAAGATGAAAGGAAAAAAAAAAGGGAAAAAAAGTTTTTTTTTTAAAAAAACAATCAAAAATATTTTCCGGACAAATAAAAATGCGACACGTGGCAAGTGACTTATTATTGTAGGTTAAGTGACATGCTTGACCTAATAGAATATAACACCCCCAAAGTTTGGATTATTGTGGAATAATCAAAAGGTCGGATTATTAAAATTAGACTGTACAAAGGTTGGATTATTATAATCAAATTTTCCATTAGTTAAATCCAACATGTATTGTATGTCATATAGTACATTTCAATTTGTTTGTCTTATTTAAAATCTTTCATATGAAAGGAGAGAAAATTTTATTATGAGTATTCTTCATTGATTTATATGAGAAAAAGTCTATTCTTTTTTAACCATCTTTTGAGATTATGCAAAGAAAAATAAAATCACTTGAGACCTTATTAAAATAATCTCAATAAAACTATCATACTCTGTAATATATATCTAATTTATGTAATTTTTACTTATCGAGAATAGAAGATATTATTGACGATAAAGAATTTTCATTAACAAGCACGCGTGATAAATGAAATAGATTAAGTAAAAAAGAACTAATAAAGTAGCTAGTAGCCTAGTACACAGTATACTTCATACGTAGTACATGCTAGGGATGACAATATTAGATGGATATCCGCTAACCCGATCCATCTGCTTAAAATAAATGGACGAAAACTCAAAATAAATGGATGAAAAGCGGGTGACGGATGAAGTGGATGATGGATCGGATATGGATGATGATTTTTTCACCCGCTAACCATCCACACACCCACCCGTTTAACATATATAAAGATTTTTAATCTAAGAATTTAATTAAAAAAAATTAAAATATACAATAAAATTACTTTGTTAGTTGCAAATTAATTTTTTCAAAGAATATGTAGTTAGTGCTTCCTTTTTATTTTAAAATTAATAATAACTTACGGTATAAATAACCATAAATTAAATTTTATGCGAATTTTTTTATCTTCATAAAATGTTCATCCATTAGTCACTCGATCCACCCGTTTCATTCGTGGATGATGGATGGATGGATACGGATGATGGGTGAAGAGGGTGATGGATGGATGTGGATGATGGGATTGTAATGATGGATGGAGGTGGGTGAAACTCCACCTGATCTGAATCCGATCCATTGCCATCTCTACATGTGGCCATGTATCATCTCACCCACATCTTTTTTCTATCTAGGGTGTACAAAACTAGGGTTCTACTTGATCAATTAGATGGAAATCAATTTCACGGTCCTTTCAAATTGATAGACCAAGTGGCGGTTCCACTATGGGTTCAGCTGAACCCATACTGGACTTCTAAAAATAATTCTGCAAAGTCTAGAAAATGGAAAGCATATAATATGCGTTTATAATATCTATTAAGACGGAGATGGATTAGTGGTCGAAGTCCCGCGTGCAAGACTTGCTCCTTACACACTGACGCGGGATCAAACCTTTGCTCTAACCTTTTTTTTTTTTTTGGCTTTTTAGCCCTATCTTTTAAAGTAAACGAATTTGATACTTATGTTGAAGTATTTGCGTAAATTATACTTCCTTCGTTCTAGTAATATTGCAATAACTGGAGTTTTGCACTTTTTATTATGTTTGTTTAACCACAAATTATGATTTATTCATAAAGTAAAATATAGCTATGTGGGGTCTTGTTATATTAGATTCGTCTCGTAAAATACTTTCACAATATCAACTTTTTATAATTTTTACTCTTATGTAATTATAGATATTTAACATATAAAATGTGCTTTAAGATCCGTAATTTCATCCTTGTTGTAATATTTGTGGAACAAAGAAAGTAGTTTGTTGCATTGTTGGTGAGTTGGGCAATAAACCAAATTCATTTCAAAGGGATTGAGTTCGAACCCTCTTTCCCTTTTGTGTCTTTTTACTTATCATTTATATAATTTTACCTTGAAATTTCACTATATAACTTTATTCAATCATTCATATAAATATTTTTTTTAGCGAGCTTATTTAATGTTATTGTTATTCACTTATTTTACTTAGTCATTGGATTTATTAAATAATAATTTCAATTGCAAATTTGCATAAATGGCACGTTGTCACCCCCAAATTATGGTTGCGGCTTGTAATTGGTAACTAATTTTTTCGCTCTTTTTTATTTGACCTGCTTTATTCATCATGTTTGGCTATACATAAATCTAATAATCAATATATTAATTCCTAATAAGGTAAAATTATATCAATAGATATTATGATAAGACATATTGAGACAATTTAAGTAAAAACCTACATGGCTATGTTTTAACTTATGTATGAATCACAAAAGGCGATCAAAGATGAGTGTGAATAGTACAAAAGTCAAATTAGGTCAAATAGGAAACAAGAACCCATAACATAAAATTCTTGGAACCGCCGCTGGATAGACCCCCTCATTACACAAATATTATATATATATATATATATATATATATATATATATATATATATATATATATATATATATAGGGTCGGGATCCGGTAAGAACCACCCTTTATGTGAGAACCTTTATCTATGTGAGAACCAATACTAGCCATTAGATTATATGAAATTCAATGGCCAAGATTAAAAGACAAAGCACACTTAACTGCTTCAACTTTCTCATTTTTTCTCTCTGCACAACCAAGCTCCATAATTATCAATGGCGACTGATTAATCCATTTGAAGGCTTG